ACCCCCCCCCCCCCCAAAACAAAACATCAATGTATCCTGTAATGAGATCAATATTAGCCCTACCTTGAAGTTGCCGATATCTGCTTTGTAACTCACTTTGTGGATTGTTGAGCTTTGATATGACCTTTGAACTTTGAGCTTTTTTATGCTTTGGCAACAATCATTTGATTGAAGCATTTTTTGTACCCTTTGCTGACCGTACGTGTTTCGTTTTAATCGGAGAAGTTGGTTTTTTTTATTTAATGACTAAGGATTTAAGTTGTTCCTGTTAATGTCCTAATTTTTAATGTAAGAGGGAAGTTGTAGTTGACATGATGGTGCTGCTGTTGATGATTAAATGGTAATGGTGGGGCATCTACTGCTGCTGTTGCTGCTGCTGCTGCTGCTGCTGCTGATGATGATGATGATGATGATGATGATGATGATGGTGATAGGATGCGGATGACAGGTAAAGAGAAAAGAAATAGGAGATTGAACAAGGAACATGAAGTTACGTATTAAAGATAATCTCCTGAGATGTCATGTGAAGAAAAAGAGAGTAGATGTGTGGAGTTATGCGAGGAGGCACTCGTGAAGAGAGAGAGAGAGAGAGAGAGAGAGAGAGAGAGAGAGATTAGAAGCGACCCCACATGATTTGTCGGCATAACCTCATTAATTGATAGGGTAGGCAACAAACAAATAGCTTCGAAGTCTGTGTGTGGAGAGTGGGAAAGTGATATGTGAAGGGGGTGGGGGGGGGGGGCTAGAAACAGCGAAAAAGGGTAGAAAACAGGGAGAAAAGGTCGAATGGTAAAAATAGATTTGTATACTTACCGTGTGTGTAGCATCTTCTGAGAGTTGTGTACACATATCCTAACTTAGGCTAAAGGAGATTAAAAATAGTTTTAAAACAGTGTGGGCTAACTGGTGCACCCTTAACACTAAAGAAAGCTTTCAGTGTAAATCAGATTTGTGGGAGTCAGGAGATCATAATATACATATTTTCTGGGCACAAAAATGTCTTAGCAAGTA